ACTAGCATCAGTTTAAGCAAAATTCAAAATTAGTGTAGAAAATTGTATAATGAGGGATTTGGTAACAACCTGTATTCCTTTTATTATACAGATATCAGCCTATTTACAGTTACATTTGTGAATTTAAGAACCAACTTGTTATTTTAAATGAATTCATTGAGTAGCTACGATGTTGCTGAATGCATCTATTTCGTATATCATTAAAGCAATAAATGCGAAGTCGTGAAAAACGGTGTCAACTTATCTTGCGTTACGTATGTTACGCTTTTTGTTTTGTTTTTTTCTGTTTTTGTTTTTGTTTTTTTTGTTTTGTTTTTTTTGGGGGGGGGGTTGTTTTTTGGGGGGTTTTTTGTTGGGTTTTTTTTTGGTGTTTTTTTTGTGTTAATAATAAAATGCACATTTTAAAAATTCTATATTTTCTTCTCGAATTGAAATGATGAATACATATTTAAAACGATATTTGTGCCAAATATTCAATTATTTTACGACCAAAGATTAACCAAAACTTTTATCTTAAAACAAACAAAAAACAATAAAAGATAACACGCCAAAATATGCAACAAAACAACAAAGGCACTGCTAAATGTTATGAATAATAAAGAGGACATTGAAATATGATACTGAATGAATATTTTTACGTCCTTAACGAAAAATATGTGCACATATTGCAATAAAAAAATGTTTAATTCAAAACATTGAACGGATTTGAAAGCCTGTTACAAGACGTACCTACTGAGTCCGTTTCAATAAGATGTCATTATTATTATTAATACAGTCATACAACAAATATAATTTACATAAAATCGATAAAAAATATTTCCAAAGTCAAAAGTTTGTAATTGTTACCACTTGCTATGAGATCAAATATGTTTGAAACCTTTTAACTTTATGACTTGGTTAATCAGATGATGATAAACGGTAATAAAATAAACTTACAGTTAGAGCATTATCTCTCGAAATCAACATTAATTTGCATATGAATTATACTTTTATATTTCGTAAGTGTTGCTTTATTTATTTTATGGGAAATTAAAAATTTAAAAATAACTTTTTTGGACAAATTGTGAAATAGATTTAACACGATAAAATTAAATATTAACAATTAAATGGGTTTAAAATCATCATCCAAAAGCCTTACATTGAAAACTTAAAAATAAAATTTTTATACTACTTACTACTATGAACCTAGTCTGTAACATTTTGAGTTAAAATTATGCGTTTTATTTGTTCTATTTAATGCTGTAAGTCCCTATACTTTTTTGTAAATTTGTCCAGTTTTCATTACGCAATGTTTGTTAAGATATCTTTAGCTATCTCAAAAATCATTTCTGTGACGGCGTGACCGGATGGTTAATGCTTCAGACTATATATAGATTGCTGGCAGTAGGGGTTTACCCCCTGTCCAGGACAATACTTTGTTCACTGGGCCAGAATCGTTCAAATAAATACTTGCAAATAAAACGTTAACGTGTCTTACTTCGATACTGTATTCCCTTTATACACGTTGCCTATTTTATATATTTCAAATACAGCTTCTTGTAATACACAGGCTTTACATCCTCTGATCTTTTGAGATTCCATTATGTATAGGTCCGTCTATAGTTATATTTATCACGGTATGCATATTCTTTTACTAATTGACCGTGTGACCTTTTCGTAGATGCCACGAAAGACTAAGTGTCGAAGTTGGTCTGGTGATCACCGCTGTATAAAAACACATCAGCGATTTATTACTAAATTCAACAAATTTCATATAAACATGTTGATGTCTGCTGAAACCGGTGCTTGGGTGTGGCCGGTAGCTTGCATTTTTAACGGCAAATAATAAATAGACTCAACTAATCTGAGCCCGAAATATTTTAAGTTTTATCGTATTTGGCGATCTGTAAGTTGTTTAATCTTTAAACAAAATGAAGTTTAAATTCAAAACTTGTAAAACTAAACTAAAATGTATTCTTTTCAGAAGTATTTCTTTAGCTGTACTTAGTTCTCTTTTTTAAATTTTGTGTTAGCATTAGACTTTTAAAAATTAAATTCATTTTTAAACTGTAATCAAAAGGTTTTAGGATAATTATTTGATGAAGACATTGTCCGATTGACAATTTTATTTAATTGATATAATTGAAAGGTATTGCGAGGTATTCGCAAGCCATCTTTTTTTATCTAAAAAAAAAAATTAAATAGCACATGATTATTTTTAATATTTAGAAAAGCGATTTTGTAATATTCTCGATTGCATTCATAAAATGTACTATCACTATACGGGTGTTGATATTATGGGCAATTTCAGATTATATTGCTTTGTGTAAATGAAATACAAACCAACGTTTCAATATACTGGAAGTTCATTTTACAGATAATCTTAAGCCTTTTAATAAACTTGGCTATTTTTTACACAAAAATATAGAAATGTCTTATCTTTTTCATTTAGTTTCATTTTAATGCTACTAACTTGAATCGCACAAAGAATATTTTATTGTAAATTTATGTCTGAGAGTGAATAAACGATACTGATTTTGAAAATGATTCGAAAGATTTAAAATATCAAGGGTATAGTGTATGATATAAAACGAAATATCGATAAAGTATGCAATTTCATAACAATCTTGATAAACCTTTATCTACCGTTTCGGATTAATAGGTGTGTCATACACTTAAAAAAGGGTCAAGTGCTTTTTATTACTCATACAAGTAGAAAACGCATTAAGTCCGGAAAGCTTTACCGACAATTTCTGTACATTACATAATACACAAATATTGTTATATCCAATTAATTGATGTGTTATATTACCTATGCTGTAAAACATGGTAAAAATATTATTTCTAAACGTTTTTGTGAAGGAATATACCTGTCGTTGACCTGACGCTTATCGCTCCAATTAGAACAGCTTTAGCGAAAGTCAACATTGCGATATTTACAACACATGGATGTTATTTTGAACAGATTTTTTATATCATAATGATTTCTACCTCAGGTACAAACTCATTGCGAATAGATATCAACATTAATCTACGTTCAATATGATAGTAATTTATTTCTGATTAACAACATCAAATTAGACGTAGGTGTACCCGGATAAATGCCAGTAGGTTTGTAGGTCAGCGCTTTAGGTAAACATAGTTCTTAACGCACAAACATCTGTGGATTTAATTTATAGAAATACATTCGCGTAAAATGGCTGAGAAGGAATGGTCTGCTGTGTACTGCATACCTTTATAGAAAAGCCGAATAAAACCAAGACGAATGTCTGTTTAGATTAACCGCCTCCGTGGTCAAGGGGTTAGAGTCGATGACTTCTAATCCAGATACCTCTCTGGCGTGGGTCGATCCCCGGGAGATGCTTTGGTAGTTTAGCGCGGAGGAAGGTAGTCTAGTACTGGTGTAACTCTCCATGAACGATGGTTAGGAAACTAACCGTCTATATGACTGAAATACTGTTTGGAAAAGGCGTAAAATGAAACAATCAAACAGATCTGCGCAGTTGTTGAAACTTAAGGAAAGCGTTACGACACGAAAAATCATTTCGTTCGTACTAGTAGTACTCGTTTTATACTTTGACAGGACGGGTCCGCTTCAGTCAATGTCGTGCCAGGAATCCGACACTTTGTGTCTTGTTTATATAAACAGTGTTGCTCGTGATGATTTATCATCATGCTTTGAATATTAATTAATAATATCCCGATCAAACGATATAGAAAACTTCTAGTAAGCAAACGGCAACCGATAAAACATAAAAAATTCAGAATAAACATAAAAGACATCAGACAGTTGTACAGTCCATTATTTGTATACGGAGATAAGAAAACATTGTCTTTCCATTTGAAAAAAAAATGTAAATAAAAATGTTTTGCAACAGAGCCAGAAATATAAAATGGCCATGAAGTGTAAAGCTGATGCATGTGAATGTTTTTTATGCACTGATTTTTATTGTTTTTTGACGACTCGCATGCGTCTCTTTTAAAAATTATATAAATTTCGGCTGCAAAGTAATTAGTTCAATATTGAACTCATTGGTTTGATTCCACCCATCAACTTCAAAATTTCTTTAATCGGCTTGTCAAGCTTCCAAATTTGGGACTGTCCATTAGGAACATTTTGAAGATCCTGTATGTTATAATTGAGGTTGTATACCACACTTAAATGAAATTTTATATATGTATATAATTATGTTTCAAACATCGAAGAATATATTAAATATGTACTGCAAATATTTGTGCACATTATATGTAATCATTAAAATATATGCAATCATTTCTTATTGACGTATTTGACTGAGACTTTATAGAAAATAAATTTCTAATTACCTCCCTTTATTTACCTGATATGTTAATTTCGGTAATATCTTTATAAATAATGCTTTTTGAACTTACAATATTGATAAATCTTAATTTGAGCATCATATTTATGATTTAAAACGATAAAAAGTATTGTGTTACAGGATCTTTAAAGGTTTTTGGAACATAATGTATGATATTGATGTTTTAGGAAATAATGAACTTTTGTCTTGATTAGTTTCTTCACGCGAAAAAAAATGTTTGTTCAAATATTTGGCGCATGCGCAAATAATGGAGTGAGTTGTCAAAGTCTAAAACAGTCGTACAAATCAAGACACTTTTTATTGAATCATATATATTCAAATATCAAAATGGCGTTTTATGAGATTCTGATTTCGTTTATATATAAATGTACATCTATGTGTTGTTCGATGTCCTCCACTGTGTTTTATTTGGTGCTCTGCAGTGTCCCTTTGTGTGGTCCTGCGTGACCAGTTTATGTCTTGACAATCATTCTGTGAACGTTTTTCTTCGTTGTTGACCTCTGTACTCGAATTTCTTATCACATAATTTGATGTCCCTTGATGCAAATACTTCTGAACTATTAAGTTGCTTGGTTCACCACGACAATGTTGTTTAGGTGATTTTTTATTTGTTTATTTGGATCAGAACCGTTGTTTTCTCCTTTTCTCTTCATCGCTTATAATGATAATAAGATATCGCCGTATCATTTGACACTTTATTAGAAAATCATTATATAAAATGTTACTTCAAAATACAAAAACATATCTTTATTTCAGAACGAGGCCACTAATTCCTTGCTAGGAAGGTAAAGATCATAATCATGTGTACTACTATGTTATAACAATCAATATTTTGTTCCTGTACTATTCATAGCAGAAATACTTTAAAAAGTCCTATATTACGCAAATATCTGCATTGAAAATATTTGTTCTAAAACGATCAATTACATATTTTGATAAACAAATAGCATGTGATAAATACTTGTCATCTTTATATACTGGCAATTATGGCACAATTCAAATAATGCAAACACGGTTTAGATTGAACCTGTTCAAGATTACTAGTTCAGTTTATTATCCTCTTTTTGAAAATATATTTTGCTTCTTATCCATATCTAACCTCTAGTTATTTATTTGCGACTTTCAAAGATATGCCATAATTGCAATCTATGTATACAAGTTTATTTATTGTCAGACTAAACATATAAGAAAGAGAGTATAAACTTGTAAAAAAGAATATATATAAAACATCGGAATACAACAACATAGGTTATTCTGATCATCGAAAATCATTTTGTATAAAGAAGAACTGGCTTCTAATTATTGAATATCATGGGTTTTTCCAATACTGTAAGTGAAACAAAAATATGCAGTTTCTCAAATGAATAAATGCACTCGTACATTGTAGTATTGTCTCTCTCAGAAACAACGTTTGACCGTGGACATTCATCACAAAAAACAAAACTGTGTGTTAGTGTCTTATCTTCCAAATGTGATTCCAATCCCAATGTTTTGTTGTTGTTTTTGTCTTGTTTTGTTATTAAATAATCATTTTTTAATAGGTATTTACCTGTAACACGCAAGTCAGCACTGTTGCAAAATTAAAGATCACTGAAAATTGAACAGTTTGTTTGTTTTTATCGGACACAACATTATTCAGACTTAAAACAAAAACTTCTAATAATAATAAACTGATGAAAAAGCACTGTTTTTGTATGTGATTTGCCTTTTTCTTAAGTGTTATGTTATGCATCTTTTATACGGTCTGTCTGTTCTTAAGTGTCATCTTACTGTTACATTCAGAGACTTTTTCAATCATTTTAGAAACTTTCTCTAAAAACACTTTACAATTTACCACAACTGACAGTTCTTTGTATAAGCAACGATTCAATATTAATCACATATCTGTCCCCCTAGAACTCTCAACATATATCGGACATCCAGTCTGGTGGCAGTGGTTTCGGATATCCGTTTAAAACATTATAAGACCCTGGGTGAACTTTATAAAACCTGAAAATGAAAGAAAAATTAAGATGTATTCGAGAGGTATTCGAGTCTAAACCAAACAAATTGAACTTTTATTTTTTTTGTATTTTTTCAGTATACTTCGGAAAAAAAAAACAATTTCAATTTTCAATTTTGCCGTTTCGGGCATTCTTTAGGGATTCTTATTTTTTCTATTTTACTTTATAGGATTTATCCTAGTTTTTGTATCATAAGTTAGTGCGAAAGGTTCTTGCACAATACAAGTATCTTATGTTTGAACCTTTTCAAATGATTTTAAGGGCTTGATGAGGAAAGATGGCAATTTTTATTCACTACCTCTTTATTTTTATCCAAAATAACTCTATTCCCGATTTGTCAAACTTTTGATATAGCACAAAACTCAACATATTTTAAATATTCAATAAAAGGAGGAAACTCGTTAAAGACTTAGTCTTCTGTTTTAATCATTTTCTTGAACATTACAATATTAGATTTGTAATGTAAATGGATATATCTATATGTATATATTTCGGGGAAAATGTTTAAACTAAAGGTTGCAAATCAGTTGACATGAAAATAAAGTTACAACCTTTTCACACCAAACTGCGATTTTAAAAAAATGTGATGTTTTAACCTTTATTTCTAAAATTCACTAAGATATCAATTTCTATATGCAAGACAAAAATCGCTTGAATATCCTCATAATAATATTTTATATATTCTTTCTAAAGAGATTATCCTTTTACAAAACTAGAGGTCTGCAAAATTATATTTCGGAAATTAACAAGATTATACATAGATTTTTGATATAAATGATAGAATTCCGGAATTGTAAAAAGAATAGAAATTGGTTGACGAATAGTTTTACAATTCAACATATCTATATATTTTTGGTCTAAAATAAAGAATCACAAGCAAAGTTTAAAAGAATAATAATTAAGTAAAATTTGAAATTATATTGTATGAATTATATTATTATCAATATGATAACTTACTTATCTCTTTTGAAAAAGTAAATGTAACCATCTCCCCGCTTAATAGCCCCTGAAGGATTTTTAGGGAGCCCTTCAAAATACTGGCTTGTAGACAATGGATAACCCTTCATGACTTTATTACGACCAGTGCTCCATTCCCAGAATTCATCTTCCTAAATTGTAAAATTATTATTCAATTCAGCTCAACTAAAATTATTACGCTTTAATCATACAGAATTATCTCCAGTATCTGAACAAATTCAAAATAAAAATGAAAATCAGAACTGCATTGCATAACACATGCATTACAAAGTTATCGAAAGGTAATTGCCAGAAATGACTTTTATGTCACAGGCAAAGAAAGGGGTCGGAATGCCTTAGCATGCCGACGAGATAGGCTCTAATTTGTTGTTACACACATTCATTGATTTGGTATTGAATAATTTCAAGTTCACCGAACCAAAACAACAATCTCTATTATATAAATCATCAGGAAATGGCATAAAGCGCAAACATTCAGAGTGATTTAAAGACATATCTTCATCAAATATAACACTTTTATCCACAATATCTGACATTGGAAATCCATATTCAAGATAAGATGTAAGTGTGTGTATTATACTTATGCTTTTACGATCATGTTCAATATTATAATAACATTATATTTCGATGTATGTATGATAAGAATTTCTTAAAGACTTACGCCAAACAGCAACAATCTGGTTATGCCATACTGATCTCTAACAAATGCTCCACATTTCGGTGTTTCTGGCATACCAGAAATGTTCAAAGGGTATCCATAATCTAATTGGAAATTGGTATACCGCCACAGTGTGTTATCTGTAAAGATAAAACATATAAAGCACAGGTCCCACCGGAAACACGTGGCAAACGATAAGTGTCCAAATCATACTTGTTTATAACGCCTGAAGTATGATTTATCTAAAAGTCAGATAACTTTACTTATTCAATTACCAATTAGGTTAATTTGCTATGAAAGTGAACAATTCTTTAAGTTTCTCTGATTAAAAAGTTAACGTATGAAACATGTGTGTTTAGTCTTTTCCATCAAATACTTGATAAAACAATGGTCTTCAAACAAACAGCATTCCAATGAGAATGTTGAGTCCAGATAAAGTAGTCATCAATAACTTTTACTTCACGTCAGGGAAACGAATGATAAATTAACCATCTGACTTACTGTAAAACATATATGTTTTCTTTCGTTGTGATAAATATGCTACTGCATCTACTTTTGGCGGGCCATTCTCATACACTTCCGAGATCTTGACCTTGTCTTGTGAGCGTACAAGTTTTCCTCGTTGATCTATTTGCAGAACATGAGAATTTCGGAAGATGTATGTGTAGCCGTCTGGACCTGAGAATAAAAACTGATCAGCATCAGTATTGTTAAATGGACTGGCATTCAGGTGGACAATTTGAAACAATGTTTACAGCACAATTAAAACAATAATAATTATTTATTATTTGAATGCACATTGATTGTTATAATATTTGAAAATAAAAACTGAAATTAAACATCAACGGTAACGGTGAATCACAAACGCATTCTCAAGTTAGTTAAGATGTTGATCAATATAGTTATGACAAAAACCAAATCATTTATTTCTTTCCATATATATACTGCGAAAAAGGCATTTTATTTATATGAGCCGCGTCAGGATAAAACCAACAAAATGCGTTTTCGACCAGCATGGACCCAGACCGGCCTGCGCATCCGCGCAGTCTAATCAGGTTCCATACTGTTCGCTATCAGTTTCTCTACTTGTAATAGGGTTGGTAAGCGAACAGCATGGATCCTGATCAGACTGCGCGGATGCGCAGGCTGGTCTGGATCCATGCTGGTCGCAAACGCAGTACGTTGGTTTTGTCATGACACGGCTCATATGATTATTTCTCATCATAAAAAAGATATGACAACTATAAAACACTTTCATCAATCTATTGAATTTAGATACAAGCAAACAAAACATATGTCATAATAGTTTGTTTAGAAATCAAGTCAATGATTTGGAAGATAGGATTACCTAGTTCCATATCGTCCATGGGCAGTTTGCAGATTTTCGGAGCGGCAGTCGTAGGTTCAGCGTTTAAGTATGGTTCGAACAAAGTATCCGGATTTGGACCTGTAACAGAGAAAACATGTGCATGCTGTGGTTGTTTGCCTTTAAGATGTAAATCCTCGGCAAATTATACGATAATGGTTCAAAACTTTTAAATGATGTTATTGTCATTTTCTGTTGTTGTTTTTTGTGTTTTGTTTATTATTTTGTTTTATGGTGCACCAACAGAAGCTATGTCATATGGCGCTGAACTAGAAAATATGAATTGGCTAAACTCTGGTGTAACAAATTTACAGTCACCCCTCCTCGCATGCTGGAGCTAAAGATTCCAGTAAAATTCGAACTAATTAGATATGTTGCTAATTTTAAGGGCAGATTATTCACAATAAAGGTTAACAATTCCTAATTTATACTTTCAATTCATTATGCAAATGATAAATCTTTCTTCTGCATGAGATAAAACTCTACAGCTATGATGTTATAACAAATTAAAATTTAATTTCGCACGATTTCAAGAACAGATTATTTATTACTTTAAAAACCAATCATATGAATAATTTACCGTAAAGAATTTGAGCATTTTCAATATCTTCAATACTGAGGTCTAAATTCGTAGAAACAAATGCTGGGTACATTACAGACCGAGGGTCACTTGAGTGTTGTAGACCTAGCGAATGTCCTGTAAAAAAGTAAAGGGTATATAATGCAACATCGTTTTAATATACTTCGGGCATCTTAAAATACATCTCAATGTTGCTAATGATGGACTGTAATAAATGGTAAAATGATTGACTGGCATGATCATATATAATTTTCTATGTTTAATCTGATATACTGTTGTAATAAAACAGTGATATTTTCATTTAAACAAAAGAAACTAAGTGCTTTTTGTACATCAGAACCGCTCCAAAATATTATTGTTTATGTCTCAGCGTCATTTCTATAATGTTACTTTTACAAATTACTAGCTTTCTTGCCACGTGACCAGTGCTGACCAATAGTTTTGTGACTTTTGTCCAGATCGAAAGATGGACAAGTCCATTAAGTTTTTTTGCTAGGTATTAGGGTTAAAACGATAAAACTGACCTATTTCGTGAATAGCAACAGCCAGTAAGTTAATTCCGTCTTTAGGGTCTACACTTTGTGTCCATGGTTCACCATCATCCAAGTGAATATTACCAGATATTGTATATGTTCCTGGTCCAAAGGCATGTGCAGCAACGCCTCCTATAATCAACAATGGAACACAAAGTGACTCTAATGGTAACACAGAAAATAACTTTGGCAAAATAGGGGGAAAAAGCAAGATAAAAACTATCAAGGAACACAAAGTGACTCTAATGGTAACACAGAAAATAACTTTGGCAAAATAGGGGGAAAAAGCAAGATAAAAACTATCAAGTACAATGTAATCGTTTTCCTGATATGAAGGGGAAATTATTCCAGTAACAATTATAAAAAGCACAGTACATGTTTTAAGTTACTCTGTACTGCAAACCTGAAACGGGACAAAGAAACAGAACATTGATGGATTCTTTTCCAGAAAGACCTAATGTTTGTTAATGCAGTAGTTTTGGAATGGATAGGGTTTTAAATGGATATTACGGTTTATAATCGTTTGCTAAGTAATCGTTGAATTCGCAGGTTGTCAAACGTAGTTATATAGAATACCTTTCACTGTTAACATGCTTGTTGTTTCCTAGCACTCATGATATTCTTTTTTGGATGTGTTTATGTTAAGACTTTTACACTAGAAATGACTGATAAATTATCACTCTATACTTTAATATAAGAACTCGATGCTTCAAACAAATTAATGCAGTTTAAAGAGCAACGCATATCAGGGTCAAATCACTATCTCTTAAAAGATCTTACATTTTTGAAATATTTCTCAGTGTAAATTAATTATATATTTGAGATTTAGTATGTAAAAATTCTTACTGAATATCATTTTACACATTGAGGAGACTGACATTAATTTTGTTATTAAAATGTCAGAATCGTCATAGTTGACACATAAATGACTTGCTGGTTTATACGGCCTTTAAATTGGACAGGCTAATTGCACTGAAATATTGTAAAAGCATTCTTTCTTTTCTTTCCCTTGCATTGACATTGTATATTTATTACTGCAATTTACATGGTGGTACAATCGGAGTGTGTGGATAGTTTACTGGCCGGACTAGTGGATGAGACAAACCGTTGTTTGCTTGAGCAAGAAACTTTACACTTATTACTTTGAACTGGTACGTTCCAAGAACGGATTGATTTAATGAGTGTTCTATAAGTGTATAGAAAGCCTCCAAGATAGTTGAACTGAAATATATTTTGTTTAACCTAATAGGCTATTTAAACATACGTATTTTTGTGAGCAGTTAAGTATAATTATACAAAATATAAATGCGAATTCCATTTTTGTTGTTTAAATGAGATTTAACATTGTAATGGTAAGCATGCTCTGCATGATACAAACTATCAATTTGTATCATAACCTGATATGTATCATACCGTAAAAAACGTCTTAATTTTTATAACACTGAATATGAACTTACGTTCTAAAATTGGTGTCATGCATTTAAATATTGTTATACACGACCTTTGGGCGTGACTGTGCAAATTGAGAAGAAACATCAAACAAATAAAACCATAAAAATGTAGTGAAATCATTCCAGTGAGGAATAGAAACAAAGGTTATTGTAGATAAAATTACACTATCAGCATAATTTCCATTCATAGCACGGGCTATCTTTACCCATTAGAATTTTTTATACATCATTGTATTTCAGTTTTGATGGACAACTGAAACTCAGATCCAGGGATCACAATTTGTACACACGATTTCCTCATTATATCTTAATTTGATACTTAATTAGAAATTTACACCCCTAATTTACCAGCGATGGTTAGTCGTATTTCCTACGAATTGTAATTTAAATTACAAAGTTCAACGTTTTGAAGCAAATATATCGTATAACAGTATTTGTGAATAAAATTGAGCCGTGTCACGACAAAACCAACATAATGGGTTTGCGACCAGCATGGATCCAGACCAGCCTACGCATCCGCGCAGTCTGATCAGGATCCATGCTGTTCGCTTACAAACCCTATAACAAGTAGAGAAACTGATAGCGAACAGCATGGATCCTGATCAGACTGCCAGGGTGCGCAGGCTGGTCTGGATCCATGCTGGTCGCAAACCCATTATGTTGGTTTTGTCATGACGCGGCTCAAATAATTTAGCGCATGCACGCTGTCAGAATATCTTAAATAAAATAATCTTTATCAACAACGCCTGTATTTCAGTGTTCAAACAGATTAAGATATTACATTTTTTACTTTTGAGTGTAGAGTTTCATTACTTGATAAAGTAAATATTATGCAGCAATTGTATGTTAAGGATAAAACGTTTACAGTTTGCTTGACATTTATTATATAATTCTAGTATTGTTATCTGAGCCGTATAATTATTATCGCTTTAATGGCATGTCCGCACATTTAAATAACTTGATTTATAGAACGTTAAATAAATAGTAACAACTTATCTTCAAATTAAACACAATTTGATATTAAAGCGGCCTTGGTTTTTTTATTTTCCGTGAGAAAAACAATCATATGTTGTTTCAAACTAAGTATTTCACTAATTTTATTTGATAAAAAAGTGTCATTCTTCAAAACAGCGTCCAAAGAGCCAGTGATGATCGTTTCTAAAATAAGAAGACCGAGAAAACGGATTGTCCGCTTTACTAATTTGAATCGGTAGGTTAGAGGTATCGAGGGATTTTCTTATTGTTTATGTATCTTGTCGTCTTCCACTTTAAATTCTTTTGATTTGACAATTATATGAAATGATTTATCTAAAAATTACATATCTATTTTTTTAACTGAAGACGGCTTTAAGGACTTTTACCTTTATCGTCGAACGAAATTTTACTTCCATCACCATGGTTTCCCCGTTCAAAATCGATTTGAATATCTGGTTTCTGTCGGGAGTATAAAAACCTTAGTCCTGATATAGCGGACCAAGTTTCAAACGCTTTCTTGAGTGTTTTCCTGAAAGACAGATAAACAAGACAACTGGGCCAATGTAAACTAAAATAGAGAAAAACGGAATCCCTAAAAAACGACCAAAACGACAAAATTGAAAATGTTGCAGACTCGGTTAAATTGAGTCTGTTTATGGACGTTACTCGAACTACAAGTCACCATCAGTCAACGCCCTTTAGCACCGGCTTTCAGCATTTAACATGAACTGGTAAAATTCTGAATTTAAGAATATAATTTCATTAGATTTTGAATGTATCTTTTTATTTCATATATTCAATTACTTGAATGAATCGATAGGAATAATGAGGTCTTTTTTATTTCAAATAGCTAAGATAAGACATAACACAAGCCATTCAATATTTGACACTGTTTGATTACTTTACTGGTACAACGCATACACAAAGTGAAAATATTACTTATTTGTTAGATTGGTGAGATGAACGGTTCATGTAATTTATCTTATGAAATACCCTACCAAAGTCCTAATGGTGAGATCTTCTTCGTGTATTTTGTTGCTCGCCATGTTAGTACCGACCGTCGCCATCGAGGATCTGATAACAAACAAACTTTCAAGTGTTATCATTTGTATAAAACAAATATATATTAATGCATATATATCATAACAAAAATAAGCAAAATAGGCGATACTAGTGTTTTTCTCAAGTTTAAAATATCTTTAAATTCATTAAAAATGAACTTGATGCGATGCATTTTCATGCAACAACATTTGGTACATTGACATTAATCAATATCCTGTTCGGAAGCAAAAATAAGAAAATAACAGATGTTGTGATAAAATAACAGTAAAAATGTTCTCCTATTAAAACAGATGTATTTCGTAATAATGAAATACTTACATTCATACAAGCGTCATAACGTAATGTTTGTTATCATTAAAGATACGCTACAATAACTGACAAGTGTAACTACGTTTTTTGAATGTCAGTAAAATTAAAGAGGAATTTTGACATCGATTTGTTTGATAATGCTTTATTATAAATACAATTGTGGCAAAGTGTCGGTTATCTTGACATTATTTTGTTGTACAGTATCTAGATATGAATAAACTGTTAATGTGGCCACTGTCACACATAAACATGAATAATAAATATACAGACATTCTAATAAATAACACATGATCTTAGCATGTGCACTGTATTAAGATATGACGGGAAGGTAATGTGGCTTCCGTTTTCAAAGTCAAGATGTATGTTTGTAAATGATTTACGACATAAAATGCTATCCATTATGCAACAAAATGATTTTAGGTAATATTTGCATACCAGTGGAGAATAAAATCGTCAAAATTAAAACGTTAAAATGCGCCAAACACTGCTAAAAATGAAAACGTTGCAGGCTCTTGTTTCGGAATGACAGTAAATGCAGCCTACCATCTAGGTCCCTTGCATCGGATTAAGAAATTGACATTTAAACATAGAAATGGCATTCATTTAGAATTTAGAAACATACACATATGTATTCGAACGGCGTTGATTATGGCAAATGTCAGGTGACCAGTTCGTTCCATTCCAAATCGCTAACAATATTCAGTTACTAAATAATAATTGCCTTCGTGATTAATCATGAAGGGTATATGGTTATAGTCTGCTGTTTCTTTTCTTCGTCAATCTCTTCTTATATAGATTGTTTTCACAATTAAACGAAGTATTTTAAACTAAAAGGGATTTAAAAATGATTATAACAAGGCGGAAAAGATCGAGAAGATAAAGATTTTTGACAGACCTGTACTCACAATATTTGTAAAAATGGAATTGCCTGATTGTAGAGAATGGGTCATCAACACGTACATCTGGTATTCCACAACGAGGTTCCTTCATGATCTTAACTGTCTTCTTATTAAGTTTTCCTGTCTGTTTTATACCAAAGAACTCTTGAAACTGTCTGTAAATGCCAAGCAAACGAATCAGTTTAGAAAAGAAAGTTAAATCAAAGTGTTTTCGATCAATTTTTGAACATAAAATACTTAACGGAAAATTGAGATTTGAAAATAATTAACAAAAATTCTCTGGAATAAAAACTGAAAAAAATATTGCCCAAGATAATTATAATTCTTTAATTAAGTTATAAGGCTTTTGTACAAACTATTTCTATAATGTAATTAAATTACATATTCCACAATTATGGTTCTTCTTAATAATAAATGCATTTTTAATTTGTATCAGACTCCATATACTGTTTTAGTGATGTTTTGTCCCGGATGTTTCCTCTGTTGCTACATTGCGATATATGTGACAAAATAACTACATTACCTATATATATATATAAAGTAGATATAAGTTTATTTTACCAACCTAATTGCTTCTTTTCGTTCAGCTTTGCTATGGACTTGTACTTTCCGCTTCAACAACTCTTCAGGCATTGTTGCTAGGTAACCATACTGCTCAAGAAAACCCTGAAAGAATACATAACTTATATAATATTGACAAAGATAAAAATCCGATGACTCTAATTTTGTCATGATCCTAACGCTGAATATACCTTCTGGGTTTCTTCTTTCTTACTTTTTTACATGTATATTCTACAGACAAACATTGTTACCTTAATAAATAACAAGACTTCATACTAGTTAATAAGTAAAAACAAATATTGTTTTATTTATTTGTATCTATGCAGGTTTTGTTTCTATAAAACATATCAATACATTGATATGAAGATGTACTTTATTATTATTAAGCAAGTATTAAAGATATTCTAAAGGAAATTCAAGAATCATTTTATCTTTTGATGTAGGGTTTTAATTAATATTATTTGCATATTAACCTTAATTAACGTAACCTATTATTGCTCGATGCGTCGTGATAAATGTTTATATTATCTATCAATACTTTGAATTCAAACATATACAACGGTAGTTTGATTGTAGGGCTCTTTTAGACGACATGTATTATTTTTATCTTTGTTGAACCTTCAATAGCATAACAATGCGTCGAATTGAAGTGTGAATTAAATATGAAAACGAATATAAAAAATCAATCATGTGAATTTTTGTTGTTTGAACAGCTAAAGACTTTATTCACATGGAAAAATGGATTTTCAATTTAATTTATTTACACAGCTATTAAAAAGGGTGACACGAAATATTCTTAAGTGCTACATAATAATAATAATAAATTTCAGTGGACAGCAGTATCTATTCACTATTTCCGTTTAGTTCACTATTTCAACACACTACAACATTACAACAAAATGTTCAATTTTTTCAAAAATGTTCACTAAATTCATAATTTCAATGTATTTCATTCCCGGTGTCATATTAGAAAAAAAACAATACAAGACGTTATAATGTCTTGAACAGTACAGTGATCAATAATCTCAATTATTTTCACTGGAGAAAGTTAAGATTTATTTCAACTTCTAAGCTCCATTTATTTAAAATATAGCGTTATTTCTTTTTAATAACATATATATTTATTTATAATGTGTTTAAAGAAATAATATTGTCCACTGAAATGTTCACAGTAACAGAGGCAATTAAATACCTTAAAACATTGTTACAAACTCCTAAAATATCACCTTTGGCTGTTTTAGTAAAAGGTTCTGAGTGCTATCAGTGTATCAGTAACTATGGAAATAAATTAATCAGACTTATTCACAGTCTAATGGTGGGTATGTTACGATTAGCAAGGATTCGTACCGTATTCAAATACTATTTTTTATCATTGTACAGGCTCAATATGCTTCAGCGATGATTTTATCTTTTAAATTATTTCTCATCTTTTTATTTATTATTTTATTTTGAATGTTCTGTTTAAACATTTTTCAAAAAGTTACTCATTGGCCAATTTTCATTAACCATCTAATGCTTCTGTTGCTTTCTCGCAATTGGTACAATTATTGATTTCGTAATTTGTTTCCAATGCTATTTTGTGTCTGGTCAATATCTCGCCTCTAGAAGCGAGATTCTGACCCAGAACGAAGATATCTCAGAATCTGGCTTTGGCACGTCAATATATTTTGACTAACATGTATCATGCTCTAAAGCCATTATTTAAAGATTGTAAAACTCCTGTTATCTCTTTCTAAAAAAAACAAATTTATTCATTTTTGAGGCATAATGTCCCTTTCAAACAAAGATCAAAAAGGAGAGCAACATTCTCAACACGCAGTCCGGAGCAACGACTACAAAAGGCACACCAAAAGACAATTGGCAGACAAACGGGACGAGGCAGGTATAGTTATTACAAAAAAGGAAGCGAAATAAAAAGTATAAGTGTAGAAATTTGTAAAAGAAAGGATATAATCTATTTTGCTGTTGTTAAACTTAAATCAGTTAATCTTTATGTATTGTTTTGATTTGCGCTTATAAAATTATCAGTTAAACTCATTGGTTGATTTAAAAACAGCCACTGTTTATCTTTCTACGATATCATATAAACAGAACAGATCTAGGTTTGTTCATTCATTGTATCTGTAGATGGTATGATTCAAGCTTTACGCTTAATTGAAACATTTCTATGCTTTTTTTTACGGAGCGTATTAATCTAAAGTGATGTTTGTTAACAGACTATTGCTACACACCAACAACGTAACTGGACACCTTGTCGTAGTGTAATTACAGCATGAGCTATAAATTAGTAATAGTAACTCTGTAATTAGTACCCAGCATGGCAAGTTATAAATGATGTACGATCAAAACATAGACGCCCTTCAGGTTAACGTCTTATAATTAGGGAAATACGACCAGGGTATGAAAGAAGTATGAAAGATGTGTTTCAGCTCAAAGTATTCCTAGATAGCAATAAAAACAACACATTATTGAAAATCTCGAACTCGGTTTTATAGTATATGTGACTAGAAAGAGGTAATAGAACGTGCAACATCTCTCATTCCCCCCTAGCACCGGCACAAATAGTGTCGGATTCAATGACCCCCGTAAGAACAGAAAATATAAAACCTTCAAATATTGACAAAATGTATGCAAAATTATTCCATGATATTAAATGAAATTTCAAGTTCGTGTATTTGTTTTACTTTTCAACATGATTTTAAATCAGTTTTTCTGTATCAGCTTGTTGGTCATTTTGCAATTTCGACGTAAAATTAGTACATGCAAACAATAAGCATCTTGCAGGTTTGAAATGGATATTTTTATTGAGTGATGGACATACGAACTATGTCAGTTTGAAGTCATGTAATATGAATCTGCTAAAACCTATTTGCATACTTCATAATTATATTTAATTTCATGCATATTAAACGTGAAAAACTAAATGTACTAAATACTAAAAAACTAAAAATGACAAAAATAAAAACAACAAACCCCTTCTTAAAACTTTAAACATTCGTAACCCAACCCGCATGAAAGAAATAAAGGTGTTTGTTTGTTTTGTTTTTTGTTGTTGTTGTTGTTGTTTTTTGTTGTTTTTTGGGGGTGTATTTTAATATTTTTCGAAGCAAATATATAATCCTAGGTATCCATCAAAATCAAGAAAATCGTTATATTATTAGGTCAGGAATGTTAATAATGACAAATCACTAAAACACATGGTGTTAATCACATAACTTTTATTAGCAATCAATAGGTGTTTTTCGGAAAATAAAGATGAAAGGCATTCAGCTGCTAAGTCATCTAAATAATGTCTGTTAAATTAGGGCGGTGTACTTAAATGATAATTCTAAATATAAAAATAAACACCTGATGAGTTAATCGTGAGGTGTGATTTTGAATTAATATATATGATGAACTAAATTAAACTGTTACTGAGGGCAGATTTTGCATTTAAATTGCTATAAACTATAATTGTGAGTACATTTGCATCTAAACTTGAAAAATTCGCCAAATGAAATGAGATTTATACGTGTTTTTAATCATATCTCATAACATAATTTATTCTTGGAATTCAGTCAATATAATTTATTCTAGGAATTCAGTCAGTCATGAATATATTAAGGTTTAATATATAGATCACAGTTAAAAATGAAGTCGAAGTATATATATGCGGTTGAAATTTTAGTCACATCAACAGTCTTACAGAGATACATGCTACGTTTCACTTAAAGGCACATTATACCTCAGAAACAAATGAATTTTTAATTCTCTAGAAAGGGCAAACATGTATTTTATAATGTTTAAATAATGGTTTTAGAGAATGTTAAATGCTTGTTACCTGAAGAACGTTGCGATAAATGTGCATTTAATTGTCGTAAAAGTAGCAAAATGTAAACAGTAGTAGTATTTTGACTTCCATACAAAATACAAATTCACTATAACCATACTTATTGCCAAAAAGCAATTATTGACAAAGATACATCAGGTAATTGGCCAATGAGTATCTTTTTGGATACTATAAAAGTACAGAAAAAAATTAAAAGCTTTTGATAAATACAAATGAACGCATTTCTGGGGCATAATGGGCCTTTAAGTTATTTGTTACATAAAACAACTGTGCCGTTTTTTGCATGCTTAAGTTCTTAAGGGGATACTTTTTTTCTATTTTATAATGAATCCGAATCCACATTGAATTGATGAAAATATCAACTTATCACGGACCATTCTAAAACCACTTTCGCTTTCTTTAAACAATTCCGTATACATGTACATATTAGAGTATATTTTTGTCACGTGGCAGGGGGTTGTCAACTGTGACGTCATTAATTGAGAAAATACGAAATGGCGGCTAGGACGCATACATGCTCATTAAAATCCGCATTCCTTAATATTTACGAGATACAACTGGCGTTATAGAAGATAAATGTCAAGAAAAAAGAAATTAAATTTGTTATACAATTTGTAAAGCTCTTTTTGAATCTATTTATGGAATACATCAATACCAGCGCCAAAAACATTATGTTTACCGAAGTACTCCGATAAATAGGTTTTGAAATGTAATTAACCAAATAATTCAAATTTATACAAATGATTTAAGACTTGCGTTTATTTTCATTAATTTATTACATATGACCTCATGCCTTTCAACTGACTTTCTGATGAAAAAGATTAGAGTAAAGATTCATCAAGCGAACAAAATTGTAAATTGATTTGATTATAGTTTATTTAATGTATTATACCAGGTCGACTTGACATGCCCTGTAAACATAAACCCGACTTTTATTAACTCAAATGAAAAAATAAAATGACAAGAAAAACAAACAAAAAACGAGTAATGTAAAACATTTCAAATATGGAGTGAAAATTGTTTTTAATTTAACCGTTAAAAGTACATTATAGAAATTTTATTTTTAATTGCAGATTTTTCAAAAGGTAAACTTTTGGATTTGTACTTCAGTAGTTGCTAACAAATATTTAGATAAATCACCAAATATTCAATGTTCATAAATCATTTTAGCAATAATAACATAGAGCACGATTTATTGACATTAATAATACACAAACATGGACTCCCTCGTCATAATGAAAATTGACATAAAATACATTCGAAATAGGCTTGTTTA